TTCCTAATCTGGTCCAGCAGGAGTCATGTGCCATCGTGTTCCCTACCAAATCTGCCTCTTCCTCAGGATTCTGCCTTCCCTGGAGCAAGAGCTCAGGCTCATAATCTCCATGGCACATGAGGTGACTGACTGTGTCGTATGTGGTGACCAGCACACGTAGGCACCATGTCTAAGTGTGAAAAGGAAACCAAGAGATCACAATCAGCCAGAGAACTGCAGCACACCACGCCTGGCAATGCAGACAGTGCAGCCACTGCGGAGAGAAAGCCAATGTGTTGCTGTAAAATTAACCAGATACTTGGGGGTAGTGAGGTGACTGGGCAATAAAGCTGCTTACTTCTGAGCCTAATGACCTGAGCTCAGTTCCCAGAGCCCACGAGTTAGAGGGAGAGTGGAAGCGAGTGCTCACAGGCACACACACAATCAATAAACAAATATAAAATATAATTAAAAATTACAAATAAATCCAACCAGAGACTTAACATATGATTCAAGTGTTTAACCTTATATATTCAAAACCAAAACTTTAGCAGGCACAAAAAAATGTTTATAGCAGCTTTATTAATAAATTGAGTATAGTAAATTAATATAGGGTATAAATAATAAATTAGTACCCTAAATTGGGAACCATCCAACATTCTATAACCCACTAACATGTGACAATTTGTATGCATCCCCAGTGCATCATATGAAGTATAAAAGCCACATTCTCAAAGTTATATACAGCCTAGTGTGGTCATGTGTGCCTGTAATCACAGCCCGTGGGAGACTGAGGCAGGGTTGTGGATTCAAGGCGAGCCTACGCTGTACATCAAGACCCTACCTCAAAAAACAAACAGCTAATCTGTAGTATGACTGCATTAGCACAGTGCTCTGAAGAGACAAAACCATCAGGGCAGAAGAGACAAAGAGAGCAATGGTCACCAGGATCCTAGATGGAGGGAGATGACCTCCGCCAAAGGATAGGCAACACTAGGGAGATCTGAGGGTGAAGAATACTCTTGCCAAGTTCATGGACATATATAAATACATTGTGCTCTATCTACATTGACAAAATAAGTCAAAGTTGACTTATTGTTTAGTGGGAATTCAGAGGAAAAGAGAGAAAGGAGGGAGGAAGCATGGGAAGAAGAAACAAGAGAGAAAGAAAGAAAGAAAGAAAGAAAGAAAGAAAGAAAGGAGGAAAGAAAGGAGGAAAGAAAGGGAGGAAGGAAGGAAGGAAGGGAAGGAAGAAAGAAAGAAAGAAAGAAAGAAAGAGACAGAGAGCATCCGAGTACTCATCAACTTACAATGATTTTTCACATGTCATGCACACACACACACACAGAGCAAACCTGGGATGAGGGGAACTGGGTGGGTATTTGGTGAGTAGGGTTCCTATTTTCTTGGCGTGAAGTGGGCTAGTTAATAAACATGGAGATGAATGCAGGAACGTGGCTGTGCTGGCAACAGCAAGTGCCCATGCAGACAATAAAGTGGCCTAAACCACAGAGTAAGTTTAGTGCTTCGGCTCCTCTGAGGAGATGACCCTGACCTGAGCTCTAGAAGGGATGGAGGAGGCAGTCATCAGGCAGAACATCCTGGCAGAGCCTTCCAGATAGGGAAAATATCAATGCGAGGACAAGATTACTACGGAGACAAAAATAAAACAACTCACCTCATACACAGAAGCACCTTTCAAATGCACAGTTGGGATTCTGGAGAAAAGCCAGTGGGCTGGACTAAGTGAGCAAAAAAAACAGCCGAAGAAGGTGGGCTCAGCTAGGAGCAGGGATCAGTTCAGACAGGACACAGAGCCATGGTGACGTTGGGTTTCCATTGCATGCCACGCATACATCATAGCTCAGCTCATAGCGGGTGTGGGAGCCGTCATGGCCTGGATATGAAATGGCCCCATAGGCTCATGCATCTGAATGCTTGGTCCAGGCCTGGTGGTGCTGTTTCAGGAGATTTTTAGGAGGTAGGGCCTCACCGAAGGATGTGTCTTGCTGGAGCCAGGCCTCAGGGGTTACAGTCTGGACTGGTTCCCACCTAGGTTCCCTGTCTACTTCAAGACTGCAGCGACAGTAGAACCAAAGGTCTTGTGAGGCCGTAGCCCAAGTCACTCCCACTGCCTGCCTTCCCTACCCTAATGACCTACTTCTCCAACCACGAGTCCAAATAATCCCTCTTCCCTTTAGTTGGTCTGTTTGTCACAGCTGTGAGACAGGTGTGTAACTAAGACACTGACCCCTGGGAGTCAGGAGAGCAGACACAGTTTTCCAACTTAACGCAGTATGCTTTGTTCCCTTTGCCACTACAATGAACATTGACTGTGGACGACATCAATGTATTTTTTACACATCTGGTGGTCAGACGTTTGAATTTGCTAATGGAGCCTCTGCAGCCTCTTTCTGACAGTTCTGGGAGACAATTGTAGTCATTGAGATCCCCAGCTTCTGCTGGTATCCCGTAGGCCTTGGCTGGTGGCTCCGTCCTACACATTCAAAGCCAGCAGTGCAGCACCTTCAAATCTCTCGGCGCTCTGGTCTCTGCTTCCCTCGGATCGTCCACTCTCTCTGTCTCACTCTGTGTTTTTGTTATTTGTTTGTTTTGTTTTGTTTTTGTCAAATTGACACAAGTTAGAGTCATCTGAGAAGAGGAAGCCTCAACTAAGAAAATGCCTCCTGATTGGACTGCAAGGGAGACTGTAGGGCATTTTCTTTACTAATGATTCATTTGAGATGGCGCAGTTCACGATGGGCAGTGCCACTCCTGGGCCGGGAGTTCTGGATTGTGTAAGACGGCAGGCTAAGTCAGCCCTGGAGAGCAAGTCAATAAGCAGTGGTCCTCCATGGTCTCTGCTTCAGTTCCTGCCTTCAGGTTCCTGCTTGAGTTCCCTTCCTGATAGACTGTGAGCTCTGAAAACAAATAAACCCTTTATTTCCCAAGTTGCTGTTGGTCGTGATGTTTATCACAGTAATAGAATCAAACTTGAACACTCTGTCTCCCCTGCCTGTCTGTCTGTCTTTCTAAGGGAGCTTACATTTACCTTTGGTCCCGCTCTACCGTACTGGACAGCTTCTTTCTCTCGGGATCCTTGACTTAGGAACACTCATGACTCCCTTTGCCTGTAACATCTGCATTCTCGGGTTCTGGAGGTCAGCGCGAGAAGCTCTGATGGGGGGTGAAGTCGTTCTTCTGGCTATCACAGAAGTGCTCTGCTCCACCCACTATAGTGACATAGTTAAGTCCCTTTGACCTGTTTTCCGTTGAAAGGGTCACCTTGTGAGCTCTCATTTTGAACTGTGACACCAGAGCCCTCCATCTCTTGTCTTTGTTCTTCCTCCCTCTATTCTGTGGAAAGTGTTATACCTGAAATTTAACTCGGTCACTGAAGGATTTTTTTCCCAGTGTTGAGAATAATAAGGTTTAGAGATCTTTAAAGAGAGTCTTTATATGAAGCTCTGAGATCACGTGAAATGTGCACATTATAGTCCCTTTGTTCTGTCCTAGAGTTTCTTCTGCATTTTGGATATGTGAGACTTTTGAATATAGGTTATATGAGATGTTGAAAGTAATCGTGCTTCCTGAAAGCTAATGGTATAATTAACTCAGCAACCCACATAGTCTCCCATCTTAAATTATTGGAGCAAAACTAATGTTGCGTGCCACTAGTGTTGATTGCCCTTGTCAACAGCACAGTGGACCAGTTGTTATCTGCATAAATGTGAGTGTACAATTCACGATTCAATCCCATCTTGAATCTTAGCAGAAAAGATTTTGTGACTTTAGCTTGTAGCTTTGGGGATTATGTCACTTCCAGTATCTCCCAGGATTCCCACAAAAGGCAAACATACAGCTCTCCTGGGGAGGGGACAAAGCCTACCTCACTTTTGTTCACAGAAGCCTTATACTCTCCAAGCTATGCTGGAGATTGGTGTTCTGTCTCCCACAGTTCCTCTGTCCCTCTGTAAGCCCTGCTCTGGCTTCCATTACATTTGATGCACTTTGTTCTGTCTTATTTGGAACCCTGTTGGAGATCTACTTTCAGTATTCATGCAAACACCAGTTCCTGAAGAAATTTTTATTTATCCTACCTAGCCCATGTGAGTAGTCTCATTATATTGTATTAGAACTTCCATCTTTATAATCCCAACATTTAAACTGGCTGCTTTAAAGTTGATATTTACCTTGCTAGTCTCTATGATGTCTATGAGTAAAGAAACAAGTCCTTGTTTCTGATAAGGGCACTGTAAAGTCAGCTTTTCCCCCAAATGACCATTAAAAGTGTTATCATGAAAGGACTGTTAGCAGAGCTTTAGAGGCTGAAAGAGACTAGCAGGACATGCTAGAGTCCTGAAGTCCCCAAGCCCAAAGGCCAGCAGTGGGAGGGCTGGCTGTGACCAGCAGAGGACACCAAAGTAGGCCACTCTTCTGCCTGGCCAGGGGATGGGGAAGGAGAACAAGGAAAAGATGCCCAACTCAGACCTAGTTGGGAATCCGGTGTGGTAACAGATGCATATAATCACAGTGGTCAGGAGGCCAAGACACAAAGATTATGAGTTCAAGGCCAGCCTGGGCTACCCAGAGAAGCTTATGTGAATTCCACCCCCGAACCTGGTTGGGAATTGGATGATGAAGTCCACAGCAGGTCATTTCCTGATAGACAGATGGGAAAGGATGAATTATGGTCTGGAAGAGTAAAGAGAAGACACCCAGCGTGGTAGCCTGTTGAAAAACACGTTCTCCCACATTGGCCTTTGAGGTTTAATTATAATAACCCTACATGTACCCCCACCTTAGATCTTGATTCTTTTGATTTGGGGCACATTCATCCAAAGCACTGTCTTGGGGGAGGGCAGTCTTAAATTGAGCCCACCACTGTAACTGATTCGTAGATCAGCTCACCCCTCTGTGGACAGTAGAACTTGACCGACGAATCCCCGAGGGCCCCACACGGTGCTTGCCCAGCTGCAGTGTACAGGGGCTCTCTCTCTGACTCCTCTGTCCCTTTCCAGGATGGAGCTTCAGCATGGGCTCAGCCTACCAGTTCCACAGCTGGCGGGTCTTCGTCATCGTCTGCGCACTCCCGTGCGTCTCCTCTGTGGTGGCCCTCACCTTCATGCCGGAAAGCCCTCGCTTCTTGCTGGAGGTAATGCCTGTTGACACAGAATCACGAGTGATCCCTGCACACTGGCAAGGCTTCTTTGCCGTTTCGAGGGAAGTATGTCTGCCTCGTCGAGAGGTGCATTCTCCCTTCCTGCCACAGGGTTTTGCAGGGTTTGATTTCATGGAAACATGCTTTAAGCGAAGAGGGCTCGCAGCCAAAAACCACGCATGCGCTTCCCTCAGCGAGCAGCTTTCACTCCATGAGGGGGCTATTGCTCACTGTTTAATAAAGGAAGCGTTATTGTAGTAAGTGCTATTTCTAGCTGAAGGCACATTCTTTGAACAGCTGTTCTATAGTGGTATCCTTGGCCTGCGTGCTTCAGTGGAGAAGAGTTAAACACATTTGCATAGTGACCTTCCGTGTGCTCTGAAAACTCAAAGGTGGTTGATGACTGAAAGGCAAGGGCTCCTAATGCCTGGCTCCTAGGCCTGACTGCCTGTGTGTTTCTTAGGTGGGAAAGCATGATGAAGCCTGGATGATTCTGAAGCTCATTCACGATACCAACATGAGAGCCCGGGGCCAGCCAGAGAAGGTCTTCACGGTGAGTCTGCTTCTCAGAGAATCCTTGAGTTTCAGGCATGGTGTCCGTAAGGGGCCAGACAATGCAATGACGTTCTTTGAACGTTCAATGACGTTGTTTTAAATCAAGATAGAGTAATATGAACTTTAGAAGATGATCTTTTTTTTCAGTCCTGGGGCTTGAATCTCTTCTTGCCATGTCTTTACTGTAGGTGCTGTTTTCCATGGCTTTGTGTTCAGGTGACTTGTGGCATGTGTGTATCTGTATGTGTGATTGTATGGTGTATGCGCGTTGTGTGTGCCTGCCTAAGGGTGCACAGAGGCCACTGGGCATTCTGTTCTACTACTCTGCTTCCTGGCTTTATTCCCTTGAGAAAACAAGCCCAAAAATTCTTTTATTCAGCCACCACAACACAGGCACAGCCCAATTTAGGAGTGCTGAAGATTTGAACTCAGGCCCTCATGTGCTGATCAACAAGCCCAACTCTCTGACCTATGAGCCATCCCCCAGGCCTTAGCTGGCATCTCTTAAAACTCTGACTGCTCTCTTTGGCTGGACTCAGCTGCTCCCTGCATCTCTGACTCCTGTTACACAGATCTTCCAAGATCCAGATACATGAATCGAAGGGCTCTGTGGACATCCTCTGTGTCCAGTGGTCCTTCAAAAGCTACCTTCTCAGTCAGAATTTCCCGTTCTGAAAGTCCTCAACCTCTCCTTATCCTAAATGCCACCAGCAAGTACTACCAGCCCTGCCCGAACTTAACTGCAAACCATCTTATTTAAATTATGAGATATTGGCTCTCATGCAACAAATAAAATATATTTCAAATAATTATGAAAAAACAGATATTGATGACTGGAAAAATGGAAACTCTCAAAAGCTAAGCAGCCAATGATTTTTTTAAAAAAGAACTAAAAACTCTAAAGTGGGCATTGTTTGTACGCTGTTGTATACCCAGCACTTAAAAGCCTCAGACAGCAGGATCTCAAGTTTAAGATTCACCTGGGCAATATAGTAAGATACTGTCTCCAAAAGAAAACCAACTTCCCCATATATTTTATTTGAGAGCCTATAGTTAACTCAGAAGTGGTTTTTGCTAACTAGAGACAGTGTCTTTTGTATAGTCAAAAGGGACTACTGCCTGCCTGGCACAATTTGAAGGACACCAAGATACCCAGCCTCCAAACAGTATCTTCAATAAAATTGCTATTTAGGATATGGGCAGGCTGAAAATAAAAAATAAAAAAAGAAAAGGAAAAAAAAAGAAAAACCCACCCAGCCCCTAGGAAAAATAGCATACATACTATTGTGTCCTCTTTATCCAAAAACAGGGATTCTCTCTCTCCCTCCCTCCCTCCCTCTCTACCTCCACCACCCCTCCCTCCCCATCATTCTTTCCCTGTATTGACAGCCTTGCTCACCTGTGTTGTGGCTCTTTCCCTTAGCTCAAGAGGCCACCTTAAGTCACAGACATACATTGTCACTCTGAATCTTCATCTTTTCTTTCTCTTGCATACCTGAAGAGTCAGGGTTGATGCTCACTCGCCATGGAAACATCTCCCATTGTAGCCATCTGTGAGTGTCTGCTGGTCAACCACTGGGTTAGCCTATGGGTGAAGGAAAAACAGGTCATAGTGATCCTCTATGGATAAATGGTGCATGAGCAAGTATTAATAACTACAATTAAAAGCCAAATTCATCAAATAAATAGTGCCCCCCCAAAATAATCTCCATGCAAAGTAACTCTACATGCAGAAGCTCCTGTCTCTGGTGTTTCATCTGCTGGCATGGCTCTTTATGGGGATGATGCAAAGGGGGGCATTTTGTCTCTGGTCGACCCATCCCCACTTGCTCCCCCTCCCCATTTCTCTCTGGCCTTCCCCATCACTAAGTCATATTCAGTTCCCTCAGATGCCCTTTGGGTCTGTAAATCTCTGCTAGTGTTCTCGTGTGCAGGCAGAGTTCTTATCAAGTACCACTTTGTATTCCGAGTTGTGTTTTTCTCACTTAAAATAAATAGCCTAAATACAGCAACTTCAGGAAAGAGAACTCAACCCTTTGCACTCTGTTGCTGTCCACAGGTAAATAAAATCAAAACTCCCAAGCAAATTGATGAGCTGATTGAGATTGAGAGCGACACAGGAACATGGTATAGGAGGTGTTTTGTTCGGATCCGCACAGAACTGTATGGGGTAAGTATGAGTTTGTTTCACAACAATCTACATGTCAATTTTTGACATTTGGGGGTAGTCACAGAGAGACTGACTATGCCTGTCCCACAAGGAAGACTTGTCCACTCTACCTAGAACACCTGTCTCTTGCACTAGGACCAGGCAACTGAACCCTCTCAGCTCAGAGGCTACCCAATATGTTCCATCCTGAGGAAGGAAAGTGCTGAGCCAGGAGTCAGGGCAATGAAAGTCTGTCTCAGTATTTGGTGGCCTCCAGGAAGCTGAAAAATGAGCATTGCTAGGTAGACCTGGTGATGAAGGCCTATTATTCCAGGTAGTATAATTCCAGGAGGCTAAGGCAGGGGAGTTAGGGGGGGAAAAAAGAAAGGAAGAAGGAAGGAAGGAAAGAAAGAGAGAGAGAAAAAAATTAGTTATTTAGTTTAAGCCCAGCCTGGGAAGCTTGATGATAACCTATCTCAAAATTAAAAAGGGGGCTTGGGGATGTAGCTCAACGGTAAAGCACTTGTCTAACACATTTGAGGTTCCAAGTCCAGTCTCTAGTTCTGCAAGAAAAATGAAAGGACAGGAGGGAGGAAGGGAGGGAGGGAGGGAGGGAGGGAGGGAGGGAGGGAGGAAGGGAGGGAGGGAGGAAGGGAGGGAGGGAAGAAGAAAATTCCAGCCTTTGCTTCTGTATTGATGTTAAGACTTTATATTATAGTTAAAATTCATTCAACTCTGCAAACTTGGCTCTTTTATAATTTGATGAGAAGGGATGGGAAGTGGGGTCCACTATGTAACTGTGTAGGAACACTAACAATCCAATATTTCACAGATTTGGTTGACTTTTATGAGATGTTTCAACTACCCAGTCAGGGAAAACACCATAAAGCTTACGATTGTTTGGTTCACCCTGTCTTTTGGGTAAGTGACATTTAAATTCTCAGTGGACAAAATCAGCTGTCACATTGTGACTCCCAGTTGTGTCTTTGTCTTCTCTGTCTCTCTCTCTCTCTCTCTCTCTCTCTCTGTCTCTCTCTGTCTCTCTCTCTCTGTGTCTCTCTCTGTCTCTGTCTCTCTGTCTCTCTCTCTCTGTCTCTCTCTCTCTCTCTCTCTCTCTCTCTCTCTCTCTCTCTCAATGCCTGGTAGGGTCCACTATTAACCACACAGGTTCCCTCTCTCTGTATCTGTAAACTACAGCAAACACAGAGGTCCCCTGCCTACTGTTAGCAAGGTGTGATGAAGGGAAAGGGGAATGTTCTGGGCAGGGATCCTGGGAGATCATTCTATGCAGCTTGGTTAGCCATGGGACTTCATTCTCCATTTCTAGGTTAGGAGGCTTAGAGTTAGAGGCATAGCTCAGTAGGATAGCGCTTGCCAGGCATGTGTGAGGCCGTGGGTGCCGTCCCTAGTTCTGGGGGGTAGGAGAAGGGAGGCATGTCAAGTAAACGCTCCCAACTTCTGAACTGTCAATTACTGTGTGATGATTTGTTCAAATGTTTCAAGGTGACCGTCATAGCTGAAAGTGTTTCTAAAAGCCACTGCTGCCCTGGTATGTCAGGAGCCTCGTGTGGCCTTGTGTGCACTGTTAAAAACACATGTTTTTTTGCCTTTGCAGGTACTATGGATTGTCGGTTTGGTTCCCTGATGTCATTAAACATCTGCAGTCTGACGAATATGCCCTGCTAACGAAAAACGTGCAAAAAGATAAATACGCAAACTTCAGCATCAACTTCACCATGGAGAACCAGATCCACACTGGAATGGAGTACGACAATGGCAGGTCGGGAAACTTTGACATAATTTAATGTGCTAGCTACTCACAAACACTGGCTTTGTAGTGGTGTACAGTTACTAATAACCAACACCTGTGGGGTTCTCAATTGCATTGTTAGTTACTTGAGGATGTATTTTAATCATTGAAAGTCTACTTTCAAGAGATGCAGTTCAGTTACTTCAAACTACTTCAGAACTGGCGTTGAATCAATCATGTGCCTCTTGGAATTTAAATAAAATACAACAACGGAACCACTTCTGAAACTGTGTTGCTTCCTAAAGGGCTGTGAAGACAGAGGAGGGTTAGCAAGGACGAGCACAGGACCAGGCTACTTCTTAGCGTTAGGTGAGACAGGAGCTCAGGGCATGAGTCTGCTTCATCTTTTCAGAGAGAAAAACAGATGGACAAGGGCACCATGGTCATGTCTGAATCATCTGAGCAGAAACCGCTGATATGAACCCATAGGAGCTCATCATGCTTAGAAAATTGTCTTAATTTTTAAAATGATGACTTTTTTTTTTTGGTTTTTCAAGACAGGGTTTCTCTGTAGCTTTGGAGCCTGTTCTGAAACTAGCTCTTGTAGACCAGGCTGGCCTTGAACTCACAGAGATCTGCCTGCCTCTGCCTCCCAAGTGCTGGGATTAAAGGCGTGCGCCACCACCACTGGGCCGAATTTTGAAATTTTTTTAAAATTCCAAGATAACCAAAATTGCCCCAGGCAAAATCCTGTTCATTGAGATGAAAAAGACTTGTGAAATGCTTGTGGCCTAGATAATGGATACTTGCCCATATGGTGGGGGGATCATTATTCTAATTAGCAGTCTAATAATCATCTTTTCAGGGGTGTATAATGGCTTTGTTTATAACAAGTTTTTCAATAATGAAATTTATGAAATTGAAAGAAGAAAGCATACCACTCGAATGAATGGGGACCATCACGTTAGGAGACATACACCTGCTCACGGCCCGAGCCGCACAGTGTCTGCCTCAGTCACCCACCTGAACCACTGATAGGGCTGCATGTGCATTTCCGAGAACCTTGAGCATCAAATTCTGTGACTGTGGGGGAAATATTGGATTTTAAAAATGTTGCCATTAGAAATTTCTAAGATACAGCGGGTGCGATGGTGCCTGTAATCCCAACCCTGAGGGTGGGGAGCCAGGAGGCAATGAGCTTGAACCCAGCACACCTCGTAGCATAGTATGTACCACATAATACGGTGTTTCAGAACAACAACAACAACAACAGGAAAAGGGGATACTTTTAAATAGTGTTTGTGTCTGAGACAGTCATAATTTTAGTCATATTTTTTAACATTCTAAACTGGATGTCTCATTTGTTAATGTTCAGTGTAATGATTATATTATAATTAATAATTTTAACCATTCTACTGTAAAATCCTTGAGCCAGATGTGATGGCACACACCTGTCATCCCAACTCTTGGAAGGAAGAGGCAGAAAGACTGTGAGGTTGAGGCTAGCCTGGGCTCCATCCCCAAAATCTGTCTCAGAAGTCCAAACCCCAGGCTGGGGAGATGACTCAGTGTTTAAAGTCATTACCACGAAAGCCTGATTGATCCACAAAAAAAGCCAGACACTATTGCACGCACATTATAATCCCAGTATTCTTTTGGAGAGATGGGGATGAAGACAGAAAAACCTCTGGACTCTCACTGGCCAGCTAGCCTGGGCTATGTACAGTGAAAACCAAGAAGACCTATTCCAACAAGGTGGAAGAGTTAAAACAGTGCCAGGGGTTTTCCTCCATCCTCCACACTCACGCCTGACATCCACATGTCCTCATTCCCTCATGCACACAAACACGCACGCACACACATAGGGAGGATTTGTTAGGATCCCCAAATGAAAAAAAAAAAACCTTACAAACATATATTTTGAATTTGAAAGATTTCTTTTAGAAGATAGACAAAAGGTTTTTGTCTTTCAAAAGAAATTTGAACTCCTGCTGCTGACTGGCTTTTAAACGACAGCTTCCCTGTGTGTTCCCCAGTGGGGACCCTCTACACCCTGACCCAGAACACCCTCTGGGTGGCCTGCCCGGATACCTAGAGAGCCTTCCTTTCTGTATGCAGGCTGTTGTGGGAGAGTCCAGAGGCCTCTTTAAGTCCCTAGACAACATGAGGTAGTGGGGAGAGGCTTACCATTCCCTTCTCCAACCATTTGAATGTCACACCAGGAATGCCCCGTGTGTGTCACACGTTTAAATTACTTCCCCTTTCCAGATTCAGGCTTATTTTAAGAGTTAAGACCTTCACAACCCTTTCAGCCTCTGTCAGCACACCTAACAGCTTTCAGTGTGGCTCCTGGAGTGGGGGATGGGAAGGTGGTCGGTCTGTGAGGCCACAGTACATTTTCAGTTGAGAAATGCAACTGGGCATGCGGATGCAAATAGACTTTTGAGTGTACTCAGCATGGAGTGGGTTGGTTTTGGTCAGCTCACACTAAGGGTTAGTCTCCTTCTCTGCTAAGGGTGGGGCAACAAGCATTCCCCTCTCTTGGCTTGCTAGGAATACACCGAGTCTCTAAGAAAGGTATCAGGCTCACTGATACACACTCATCCGTGGCTTCAGCGAGTCCATTTCTATGACGCATAGGCTCTTTTACAATATTAAGTTCCTTTTTTTTTTTTTGAGCCCATTATCAAAGTCACCATTGTAGTACCTTAAAAATGTATCTGACCCCATTTCATCGTTCTGCATGTTTCAGCAGGGCTCTTGTATTTTGATTTGGCTCAAGGAATATCTTTGACTACGAGAAGGAAAAGACTCCTGGAAATAAGTGTACATTTTTTCACCCTGGTCAGCCATCCCTCCCACGAAGAAGCAGAACTCACATGCTTGGCCCTGTAAGGTTCTAAACTTAGGAAATGGACTTTATAAAAAACTTGGAGGGCTAGGGATATAACTCAGTCGTAGAACACTTGCCTAGCATGTGCAAGTTCCTAGGTCTAATCTCTATGGCTATAATATATAAATATAGATAAAAATATAATGTTCAGATATTAGCACATCTTCAAGTGAGATTCACAAGTCTCAATGAAGACTTTTCAAAAAATATCTGGGGAGAGGATAGTGATGAAAACCCAACAGTCCAGAGCCACAGTTCCAGCTCTCAAGACTTTTGCCATCGTTGTGAAAATCCAAAGAACTCAAGTGTCATTGCTTCTCCTGACAGGAAATAATATTGAACAATGGTATGGCCAAAAAATTGTATCCCCAAGACCAAAAGGTCAAAAGTAACATGCCTAGAAAACCAAGGTGCCCTCTATAACTTACAGATGGTCATAGCAGGGTACCATAGATCTAAGTCCATTGACTTGGCTTTGAATTCGAGTAGATAAAAGTCAATTCATTTGTGTTTGTGTGTGTGTACAGATTCCTCGGAGTCAAGTTCAAGTCTGTAACTTTCAAAGATTCAGTGTTTAAGTCCTGCACCTTTGACGACGTGACCTCAGTCAACACCTACTTCAGGAACTGCACATTTATTGATACCCTTTTTGAGAACACAGGTAATGTATAGCTTACTCTACTTACAGCGGCAGCAGGGAGCCTTCAAAGGGCCTCTGTCTTGGCAGAAATGTCGTAATCATGTGACATTGGGGCCAGAAGCTTGAGAAGTGGAGATTTAAGTGTGAATGAATGATTTTCCCATAGCAGGTTGAATCAAAAGCAAGCTGGTATTGTTTAGCTTTCTTGGATTTAATATAGAGGCTACCTTCAAAGCTGACAAAATAAGAAAATAGCCTCTGGGGGAATAATTAATTCTTAAAACAAAGAATTAACCTGTGGGTTTATTTGTTTTGATAATCTTGATTTCACAATTGGTTCTTGCTTAAGTAAACCTGTCTAGCTCTCCAGTTCACAGAGGTAGCAGTGTGTGGCTGTGCTCAGTAACTTAGAATGCTTTAGCTCCAAGTGTGAAATGGAGTTTCAGAAACTTCCCAAAAAAATAAAGGAAGTGTACAATCCGGTCTAGGTCATCAGACACTCGCAATCTCAGACAGTTTTCCCAATTCCCGAGGCTTAGAAAAGCTAAATGATATGGTCACAGTAAATGACCTAGTAACCTTAGTTACAACTAACCTTGGAGCCCTGGTCCATGTGACTGTAGTGTCCATGCCTTCCCTTTCCTACATGTTTGTCTAGAATCACATGCCAACACTGAAGGAAGATGAATGCATGTCTTCCCTGTGAGCAGTCCTGCCTTTTGGCGCTCAGTCAGGAGCCAGTTCTGCCCCACTCCAATAAGAATAAGGCAGAGTGTTGTCTTCTAACCCATTTGACCCCATAAGACCAGAGGTTTTGAGGGAGTGGAGGGTAAACTCAGCAAGGAAGGTGATGGTTTTGCCCTGAGCTCCCTTAGCAGAACCTAGCAACATGTAAAATCCTTCTTGGAGAAATAAGTTCAACAACAACAACAGTAAGATGCAAAGAAGGGATGCTGGTGACCTTCCCTGGAGACTGACCTTCATTCTTCTGTGAATTTATCTTACATAGACTTTAAATTATAAACACAGCTTCAAGGACTCAAAAGAGAGTCCTATTCCTTCTGTGTGCCTCAGAACCCCTAAAAATGATAGTGATGAGGTAGGTCAGCCTATGTATAATTGAAGACAAATTGTTTTATAATCATATTATATAGGATTATTACTATTAAAGACTTTGGTCTTTATGTAACATGGTAAATGTAAAGTAATATTGTAAAGGTGTAAGCAATAATATGGTTGGCAAAGGCCAACCATAGGGAATGGAGATAACTTGAAACTTTAGTTAATTCAGTTCCTTATCCAACAATGGAGAGCTCCATACTGCTACTTTGTAATGTGAGGTCCCAGACTAGCTCTCTTGCTCCAGCAAGGAGACACAAAAAGTCAAGCCAGCCTCACTCAGCCTTGGGATCATCAAGGAGCTGGCAGTACTGTGATTCTATGCTGAACTCTCAGTGGGCTTTCTGCTGCCACCCAGATCTGTCACTTGTGACTGGCAAGAGTTTGATAGATTTTATTTGTTGTTGTTCCTACAGATTTTGAGCCATATAAGTTCATCGACAGTGAATTTCAAAACTGCTCATTTCTTCACAACAAGACGGGATGCCAGATTACTTTTGATGATGACTATAGCGCCTACTGGATTTATTTTGTCAACTTTCTTGGGACGTTGGCAGTGTTGCCAGGCAATATAGTGTCTGCTCTGCTGATGGACAGAATTGGACGTTTAACCATGCTAGGTGTGTGCATATATTCCTGGAAAGAAAAAGAACTGCCCCTGTGATCTAGAGAGAACCTGTGTCCTACCTTGTTCCCTGTCCCTTTAGAATGCATGTCCATAGGAAATCCCTTAGACCTTTATCGTTAGGACTGACCTGTAGTAAAAACTGTGTCTAGTTACATTTCATATGAGCAACCCCCATGAGTTACAGACTGAAACACTCATTATGTGTAACTAGTGTATATTTTTCCACTTAAGTAGATGAGTAAGGAATGATGGCCTTTGGTAAATGTCACAAACAGGTGGATACCCTTGAACTTAAGTCCTATTGAGCCCAGTCTACAGCTTCCCCATGGAACTGTCTGCTTGAGAGCACTCCAAGACCCACAGGTCCTTGCTTTACTGGGATGACAGGAAACAGTTGATCTTTTGTCCTCTGTTGGCAGGTGGCTCCATGGTGCTCTCAGGGATCAGCTGTTTCTTCCTGTGGTTTGGCACCAGTGAATCAATGATGATAGGCATGCTGTGTCTGTACAATGGGCTGACCATCTCAGCGTGGAATTCCCTCGACGTGGTCACTGTGGAACTGTATCCCACAGACCGGAGGTAGGCTGGCGCGGGACCACTGAAGGGTTGTAAACAGAGAATGCGTGTGATTTCCTGGATGCCCAGACCCGAATAATCACACAGAAACTATGTTAATTACAACACTGATTGGCCAATGGCGTAGGCATATTCCTGACTAGCTCTTACATCTTAAGTTAGCTCGTCTCTATTAATCTGTGTATCATCATGTGACTGTGGCCTACCAGTGAGGTTCTGGGTGTCCTCCTTTGGCAGCTACACGATGTCTTTCTGACTCAGCCTTCTTTCCTCTTCTAGCTCTGCTTGGATTTCCCACCTTTCTTTTTAAGAAGAAGGTTTCCCCAGTAGACATGGATACTTTGGGCATCATATCAGAGAGGGCTGGGTAGAACCTCAGCAGCTGACAATTATATTAAAAGCTTAGAAGTCCTGTTTTGCCATTTGGAATGAGCTGAAATATATGCCTTATGCCATCTTTTATTTCATGCAAAATTCCCATGTTTTATCGCCTTGAAAGTCGTCTGCACTGAACTATTCTGTAGCTTTTGAAAAGAAAGGGAGCCCTCCCCCCAAAAGAACTACACTGAGACATTTGCAGTCTTGATTCGTTACTGATCCTATGACATCCCTCTGACTTCATTCTCTCCACTTATTAACCACCCCTAGGCTTATCCTGTACAAGGCAGACTCACGAATTTATTACTAAGGAACATCTTTACGTCTTTCCTGGCTTATAACACCTGTATTGGTACCCATATGACCAACTTCCTATAGAACATCCACAACACAAGAACATTGTTATTCATATTCTTAATAAACTCTCAATCATGTTCTTAGGCATTGAAAATCTACATACAGCATCCCCTTGACCCAGCCAACCTATGTTCGCTCTCTGTGTAGTTAATACACTGAGTATTCCTTCATCAGCATCTCATTATGAAAACTGGACCCACAAAATTGGGCATTAACTCCTACTTTTTAAATCATGCCCTCTTACAAGGTTGTAAGAGACTCCCTCCCATTTGTTTTGCATTGTCTGAGTTTGACGGAATTTTAGATTAAATCAACTGGCCATATAACTCAAAGGAAGATACATGATGAGCATTCTCTTGGGGAGGGGCACTGGCTTTAAAAGGAAAAAAGAAAAACTCAAGCATCGGGCAGACCTTTCCTGTGACCAGCCTGCCTCATTGTGTCATTGGCAAGGAGAAAGACCAAATAAAGAGAAGGTGAGCTTGCTGCGTGTGCTCACTTGGTCCTCCAGGAGAGAAGAGGGCAGGAAGGGATTGAATGTACAAGAACTGGGTAAGCCCTACGTGACGTTTCCTCTCCATGGAGGACAGGTGCTTGTCAGTTACATGCACAGTTACCTGTGTATACAGTTACAGTGTGGTCTGGTTGGGTCACTGGGAGGAAAGGACATGGTGGTTGCTGTGTCAGGGAGGGTTTCTTTAAAGAGTAGTGTCTGAACTTGGACTTGAAGAAGATGGGAAGAGCAGGGTAGTCTGAGAAATGCCACCTGAAAAGCCCTGGAAGGCTGTGTAGGCAGGGTTTTCCTGTCCTGCAGCTGCTTCCCAAATAACTGACTCGGAGACTTAATATAAGTTATAAATGCTTGGCCCTTAGCTCAGGCTTGTTACTAACTAGCTCTTACAAGTTAACCCGTTTCCATTAATCTATGTGCTGCCCCGAAGCTCGTGGCTCTCACCTCTATCCTATTTTGTGTGTCCGACTTGTTCTCTATCTGGCTGGCGACACTTCTGACTCTGCACTTCTTCCCACCATTCTCAGTCTGGCTGTCCCACCTATACTTTTTGCCTGGCTGCCAGCCTGTCAAGATTTTATTAGCCAATGAGAGTGGTATATATTCACAGTGTACAGAAGGATTATCCCACAGCAAGGAAGAGAGCTAGCAAAATTCTGCAGAAACTCAGTCACAGAGATCAACCCATTGATCATGCCCTGAGGACAATAAGAGGGGAAAGACAAAATCAGCCATGGGTTGGGAGTTCATGCTAATGCCCAGAGAGGAGGCAGGAATCTTACTTGCATTGCACTCCAAAGAGGAAGATGTAATCTAAAGAAAATGTAGATGAGAAAAAGGAGAAGTCAGAATCCCACATGTTGATGGATACTCAGGAAAAAAGATCAGAAAACTGTGTAATTGGTTATATATTAGAATGAGGGAAAGAAGTTGTCAAAGGGAGGCTCCTGTTTCTGCTTGCACAGCTGACCGGAGGTTGTACTGTGTTGAAGCAGGGACACTCTGGAGGAGCAGAGCATTCCGACTGGAGTCAGGGAGATAATGAGTTCCATTAGAGGAGGTTGAATTGCCGTGGCTTCATGGAGCTGTCCATTGGGCATTTGAATACGTACGTGGGAAGCAAAAAGATACCTCAACTGGGGATAGAGCCACTGACAAATTGATCCAACAGACACTTAGGGGATGCATATCATGGGCCAGAGTGGTTTCAGTCACCGGGCTCCAGTAGTGGTCAGACAGCAAGCCTAGGCTTGATGGAGCCTACACTCTGGTTGGGAAAAAGCAATCAATAAACTACTAGGTAAGTAGACATAGAATATCAGCTGGTGCTGAGTGCTGTAGAGAAAAACAAAACTACCCAGGGGAAGGAGGACAATGGGATGGAGGAAGGCTGTAGCTGCAATAGCAGGCTCCAAGGAGATGTAGATCCCGTAAGGTGACATTTGAGTAGGTACTTGGAAGAGAGCTTTCATGGCACAGGTGACAAGGCCCGAGAGCATGAGGAGAAGGCATCAGCTAGAGAAGGGCTGAACTGGACATATCCACATTTGAATGTCCCCATCCTCACCTTCTCTTCTTAATCCCTCTTCTTGTCAAAACTGTGAACTTCTCTCAAGTCCTAAGTGTAGCCATGTGGCCTTGTGTGCTCCGGCACTTTTTTTTTTTTTTTTTTTTTTTTTGGGTCAGCATGTCTTTCATCTGGTCAGTGGCTTTCTGCTGCCACCGTGTGGCCAGCCATGGCAGAGTTCTTCTGCTCACACTTCCTAGTTCTTCAGCTTTTCCCTCCCTGGAGCTCAGGTCAGGAACCACACCTGGGAGATGACGTCATCCGGCCTCACACAGTCCCTGAGCAGGCCTGTCTTCAGAGTACAGATCCGTCCCCAGCCTCCTCTTTCCTGCGCTCTCACGTGTGCATAGTTCAGCTATGACCCCGGAAAAGGCTTGAAAGAAAAACCCTGGCAGCTTACATATGTTAACCTCTGCTGGTACTGATGGTCGCTGCTGTCAGTCACCCAGGTCTGTGGGATTTTTGTCGATCTCAGTGGGCTAATGCAAACCACCAGCCAGAGTTAAACCCCTGACTCCCTCCCCTCAGGACTGTTCCAGTTCAGACAGGCGTTTTCATTTCATTCCCACAGCCAACAGGTAACCCTGATCCTTACTGACCATGGGTGCCTGTAGGGAGCCCATTCAGGCAGCCTGTGCCTCAGTGGGTCTTTCTACTGCAGCATTCTCTCTGTCAATGGCCTCTTATTTATTTATTTACTTATTTACTTATTTATTTATTTATTAGATTTGATGTGAAGAACTCTTTGAACTACTTAACCAACTTACGTATTCCTGGTTGACTTTTCTCTGCATGCCTTATTGTCTCAATATATCTGTTTGCATTTTTCTGTACATTTACATTTTGTCATTGATCAGACAAGTCAGGTTCTTTTCGTCTCTGGCAGTTAAACGTAGCACAGGAGAGCTGAGCATGGTGGCTTGTGTCTATAATCCCAGCATTAGGGAAACTGAGGCAAGAGGATTGGGACTGCAAATTTTAGGTCATGGGCTGCATGCAAATTCCAGGCCAACCTGAGCTATGCAGCAAAACCCGTGTCAGAAAGGGGAGCATGAGGGGATGGGAGCACACACTGCCTTTACCACAGTCTTACTACTACAGCATAGTGCCAGCAGATCCTGCTGAGTGGAAACAGGATGGATGAGAAGCAAATGAGGGAAGCAGCCATTGAGCCGGTTCGTGAGCTCTGGGGAGTCACCTCTCTCTGCTCCGGGTACTGAACAAGTCCTGGCATGAAAAGAGCCACAGATCGATCCCGGGTTTCGGCAACACGAGATTACATTTGGGGCTGGAGAAATGGCTCAGAGGTTAAGAGCATTGCCTGCTCTTTCAAAGGTCCTGAGTTCAATTCCCAGCAACCACATGGTGGCTCACAACCATCTGTAATGGGGTCTGGTGCCCTCTTCTGGCCTGCAGGCATACAGACAGAATGTTGTATACATAACAAATAAATAAATATTTTTAAAAAAAAAAAAAAGAAAAGAAAGAGCCACAGACACCATGATGTAGTAACAGCACAACCACCGCCTTGTAAGCTCATCGAGCATGTCTGTTCTAGGACCTGGAGTCACACCAAGAGTACCACGTCACTTGTTTGAGTCTGCTGGACTCAGGAGATGCCTGACTGCCCTTTGTGCTGAGGGCTGAGCATTCTTTCCAATCAGCTGCATGTCTTAAGCCCTGCTCATATCACCAATGAAAACCCATCCTCCCCATGCCAGCTTCTAGAATGATGCACCTACTGCAAGCCTTGCCTGCCCGCTGACTTCTGATGAACTGCCTTAACTGCCTTTAAATGCTGTGCTGTTCCTCAGTGAACCACACCATTGAGTACATGACAATGGGACATTAGTTTACTGTTTACTGACACCAATGAAAGAATTGGTTTCTTGAGAACAGGACTTTGTCTTCCTCATTTGCTGACTGAATGAGATACACATCTTAAGTTGATCCTGGCGGTCCATATACCAGAGCTTAGAAGTCAAAGTGGGGGAGGAGTACAAGTTCATGGCCAGCCTAGGTTACATAGACTCTGTCTCAGAAAACAAACAAACAAAAAACTTATACAAAAAGAGAAGGAAATAAGCTTTGTAAAATTTACCTGGGAATGGACTATAGTGTTCCCCCATGCCTGAGGCCAAGCTTCCTCACTTCTGAAGTAAGTCACTTAAACCAGTCTTTTGGGCTTTC